GTTCCATATCCTTGTTAATATTCGGTATTGTCTGTGGGTGTGAAATAGCATCTCATTATAGCCTTAAATTTTATTTACCTATTGACTAATGATGTTAAGCACCTCTTCACATACTTATTGGCCATTCCTTCATCTTTTGTGAACTAAGTCTTTTGCCTATTTTTGTTGATGATGATTTTGATTTATTGGAATTCATTATATACTCTAGATAGGATTTTTTAATTAGATAAAGTATACATATATAGGAAAATGAAATATTAAGATATTTTAAAATCATATCAAAAACAATTAGGAATAAATCTAATGAAAGATATGAAACAGCATTACACACAAAACTGTGAAATATTGCTGAGAGAAATTAAAGATGTAAGTAAATGACAGGTATACTTTGCTCATGCATTAGAAGACTTGATATTATCGAGATTTCTGTTCTCCCCAAATTGATCTGTAGTCAATGTAATCCTAATTAAAATCCTATGTGTCTTTTTTTGAAGAAATTAACAAGTTGATTCTAAAATGTATATGAAAATGCAAGGGATCGAGAATAGCCACAAAAATCTTCAAAAGAAGAACAAAGTTGGAGAGCTTATACTGCTAATTTTTTGTGCTACTTAATTTTAAGACTTACTGTAAATCTATAGTAACCAAGTCATTGTGGTCTTGACATATGATATACAAATAGATCAATGAAACAGTCCAGAAATAGACCTACCTATGTACTATGAGTTCATTTTTGCAGAGTGTGTAAGTCAATTCAGTCAAGCAGCCCCTGGATGCTTCAATTCAGATACCATTTAAGGACCATTTGAAAAAGGAGCACAAATCCTGCTTGCTGTTCAAAAACCATCTATTGATACCTTCTGATGAGATCAAGAAAGAACTAGCATTAACATTTAGAGTGAGGGTCAGCAGTTTGGAAGACAATCTTAGAATGGTGGAGCTCTCCTAAGAAATGCTTCATCACCAAGGCCCTTGATGACACAACAGTTGATAGTGTGTGCCATCAAGACATCCTGAAAACGAAGATTTAACCAACTTATTCTGCTCATCTTTTCCTTTTTGTGTGTGTGTCAGAGAGAGATATGATGACCACCTCTTTAAATAAGTCCAAAGAACTTTTTCCATAAACACAAAATTTAAAATTCTAGGTGATAAGAAAAAGTCAATTTAATTGGCAGTAGTTTTTCTTCCTTGGTGGTACATCTTGCTATTGATGCCATCTTCAGGTTGATAAAATATGTCATATGGTTAATTTAGAGAATTTAGGTTATAGATGAATTTTAAAAAATCCCACCAAAAATCTGAGAGATAATTTTGCTAATATTTTGGTGTCAATACCCTGGTAATTCTCTGTATAATGTAGACACACACATGGGTATTTATGGGCACATATGCTACCTATGATTTTGCCAGGTCTAATTCTTCTAGTTTATATTTTAAATGACTGGTTAGTATTTCATTGTATGGATGCACTGTAATTTGAGTTCATCTCTAAACGATGGTAAATCCTGAAACCTGATGCTCATCTCCCTTCAGAACTCCCCTCAGTGGTGCCTGACAGTGCCCTCTTCCTTACTCTCCCAACAGTGTGTCCTCAGTCTTTTTATCTTGGCCACTCCGACAGGCCAAACAATGAGATCCTTTCTCCTTGGGGCATGGAAGCCTCTTGCAGTGATCTGGCTTTGAGGAATGGACAAAGACAAATGTTGGAAGCATTAGGAAGTGGGAATTAATGGGAATTAGTGATTGGATATATTTGTGTCATGTCCCAGGCATCTCACCACCTCCTTGTCCTTCGGTACGTGACTGACCAAGGTCAGTGCCAGACACCTGCTAGTCAGGTACCTGAGCCTGCTTCTCCCTCCACCCTCCTCTCTAGGTTCTCCTGGTTCTCCCTGATCTCCAGCCCTCAGGCCTCCTTTGTGCTACTGGAGGGCTCAAGTCTGTGCCCAACCAGGGCATTTTTCTCTGCTGCTCTGCCTGTCTGGAATGTCTTCGGACAGCTGACTGTCTCCCATTCTCCAGGGCCCAGCGTGACCATCCTCTTTGCAGAGATGCCTTCCCCTTTTCACCCTCATCCTCTGTATTAGTCATATTCTTCATTCCTCACAATCTTTTATCTTTGTCTCAATCCTTTCTCGTTCGCCACTCTATCCCCAGTGCCTAGCACTTAGCAGACACTCAAATGTTGCTTGACTAAATCAGTCGTATTGAATAGTGTTGAATAATCCAGAGTTGAGAGGAACAGAAACTCTTTGTTATCCAAGAGGGCAGTAGTAAGTCCAACAAGTTATGGCTCCCAGAAGGGGGCAAATTGATCGGTTTTCAACAGTTGCTTAGCAGAAAAGCAAGTGCCTTCCTTGGGGGAGTAGTCAAGCAGTGACTTGATATTATTGAAACAATTCTTGCACTGGAATTGCAGTTGGCTAGATCATTACTAAGTTCCCTTCCAACCCTTAGAATTGTGAGATGAGGGTTATCTGTGCAGTTACTAGTCTACAATTCTTGTTTCAACTGCAGATCTGGAGTTTACCACTAGATGGCAATAGAAGATTCCTTTGAAATCAGTAAACACTGGTTAGAACTGATGCTCAGGGTGAGAAAAATCATTTTTCATTGCACTTATACCCTTGATGCACACTTGAAACAAAAGTGTCATGAAAATTTTAACACTGTGTAATGCATGTTATTTTCTATTTTACTCTATTCTACTTAATTTTTTTTAAAATGCACCTTTGCAGACTAATTGATTTCATCCTATTAATGAATCACAACTCAGTATTTGAAACACAGTGTTTTAGATAACCGAACTAGTTTACTGTTATGAAGTACTGTGTCTGTGCTTTTTTCCTTAGACTGGGCGTGTATGGCAAATCCTGTTCGTTAGTGAATACTTTGCACGTGTCTGTGTTGAGTTGCTGCATAGAACAGCTGAACATATGTGTTTCCTTACAGGCGTCTGTGGATGAGAGAGACTGTGGGAGACATGTTTGTACATAATTCACCTATTGAGTCAAGGCAGATGTAAGCCTTGTTGGTTGATATAAGGAAAAGCTGTATTATCTGCTTCCAGGAGCTCAGAATCTACCTTCAAAACACAGCACACAGACCCCTTAAATTTCAGCTCACTTATCAAGCAAATGGAAATGGGGTTATCACTCAGCGTATCAGTTAGGATGTATTAGGCTGCAAGTAACAGAAGCCTGTCTCAAGTTGGCTCAAAGGGTGAAAAGACCTTATCTCTCAGAATATACGTTGAGCTGTAGAGCAGTCTGCAGGCCCAAGCAGCTGAGCGTAGCCTTAGAGATCCATGTTCTTTTCATGACTTCTCAGTTGTCCTAAGGCTGGATCTAATCGTTGCTAGAAGGCTTCCAGTGATAATAAGGATTTCAGCTCCCAGGCTTGAAACACGAAGCTTTAACTTCTTGGCGCAGACTGTGGTAGAGAGAATTTAGGCTACCATAGCACTTTCCAAGTTGTACTTGTTTTGTTCATTTTTTCCTGGTTTCCCCTCTATGACCTCCCTAAGGGTGAAATGACTGGCACTTAATACAGAGTTGGGAGAATTACTTAGGTTTAGTGATATTTGCCAAATATTTCTGAGTCTCCCTTCCTCTGGCCTCAGAACTTTCTGTTTAGTTTTTACTGTCTAGTTCTGGCCAATGAGTTTGCTGAATAAATACATGGTTGCAAGTCTTCTATATGAGATATGAGATGAGGTTATTTGCTATTTAGGGTTCTCTGAAATAAGTTAGCAGTAGTAGGAAAGACAGATGAGAAGTGACCACCTTGGAAAATGTGCCTGTAAAGATGAATGGATGGATAGCCTTTACATTTGTAATGAGGCACTCGTGTGCATTTGTTGGCCTTTTGAGGTGGATCGTTTTCCTCTGGATTCTTGACCTGGTTCCTGGGAACTTGGCCGTGGAACCTTGGCCTGAACCTGCTAACCTCTCCTCACCGGCCTCCTTTTTCATCCTTTGCAGATTTTCAATAAGCATTGGCTACTGGCATGACCCTTCCATCCAGCACCGTGAGACTGACTAAAGAAAGGAAGCCCCTGAAATTAACAGAGGCCAGTGACCACATCTCCCTCCGCAACATCTCAGCCAGAAGGCCTGAGGTTGTAGAGACTCATTCTTGTAGGGAGTTCCAGCATGCACCCTTTCCAACAATATATGAAAATGCTTACTTCCTGATAGCCTCACCAACATGGTGTATTAAGAACTTTTTTACTCTTTGTTAATCTGATAAATGAAAAATGGCACGTTACTGTAATTTTATTTTCTATTCCTCTTTTAGGTGAGATTGGTCATAACTTTCATATGTTTAAAACCCATTTATGTATCTTTTATTATAAACCGTTCATGTCAGGAATTACTGTTTTTTTTTGTTTTTGTTTTTTGGGGGGGGTTTACATGCTTTTATTTAGAAATATCTAAAATGGATTCAAATGTATTAACATCAATCACACACATCTATGATTTCAATAGTTTGGTACAATAAGAAAACAAAAATCATAAAAAAAGTACATTTAACTTTAAAAATGTTTAAAACTACTCATTTATTTATTGACTACTACAAAATTTTCATTCTTTAGGATTGGAAATTTCTAGGATTATCACATGTGCCATGAAGTATATATTTAAAAGGCAAAAGCTAAGCAACTGGAAACTACAAAACTAAAAATCAAAGTTATTTTCATATTTATAGTATGTGAAAATAAGTCTCACATCCAATAATCCAATACATAATATATTAAAGATTATGCTTTTGAAATAAACTTGCCACTGACCTTCCTGTTGGAAGCACACTGTAGAATACAAGATGTTTTAAAAATGGTATCCCAAAGCATAGGAGCACCTTATTAACACTAAAAAATATGCCTTTTAGGGCTGTAATGATGATTTAAAGACAATAATCAATGAGGTATATTTGTTGCTGATCACTCTTCTGTTAATAGGCTCATCCTGTTGGAGGACTCTCTTCCATCTTCTTCTTCACATGAATTTTTGTGCCCTCACATGAGTTAAGATGTGAGCTTTCAGGTTATTTGACTGAACAAACCTCCTGATGCAGGGACACGCGAAATGCCTCTCCCCAGTGTGGATGCGCACGTGTGTACGCAAATTGAAGTCCAGGGAAAAACGCCTTCCACACCCTTCAAAAGTGCACTGGAATGGCTTCTCTCTGGTATGAACCAGAAAATGTCTCTTTAGTTTGGAGTTCTCAGCGAACGCCTTCCCACGTTCCGCACACACGTGGTCTCGGGGAGCATGAACGAGGAGGTGCTTTTTCAGAGCAGGTGCGTTCCTCAACCTTCAGGGGCATCCACTCTGAGGACAAGCGACGGTCTGTAGAAAATCTCTATTTTGGGGGGGCATCTTTCTAGCAAATTCTGCGAGCTGTTTAGGATCTGATAAGTCAACTCCAGGTATTCATTCAGGTGGAAGCTTCTTGCCTGTCATGTACTCAGAATACTCAAGTGAATTCTCTTCATCAGTCTCTTGGAGAAGCTCTTGTGTAGCCCCCTGTTTCGTGCGCTCTAAGGAACACTGCAGAAAGGAGCTTGCTCCAAGAACCTGGTGAGGAGGCTCTTGGTCTGGTCCTTCCTTTAGGTATTCTAAGGACTTAAAAAGTGAGTCCTCTTCCAGGATGGGTTCACAAAACTCACCTCTTATTATGCATTCTATGTAACAGTCGGGGAAGACATCCTCTTCAAGAGCTGGACGGCTAGTCTCAGAACACACATTGTCATCGTGCAAGAAGACCCATGATGTGCTGAGAGGTTCCATTTCTGCCTGCTGGGCTTGGCTGGGCTCGGCTTGCCTTGGTTTAGCCCTGCTTTCCGGCCACTTGTCTTTGCCCTTTTGTTCAGTGGCTGGCTCATGTTGTCTTGCCTGCTTCTCCTTGAAGGTTTGCACCAGGATATATCAGTCACTTCCAGGTAGTAGTGATCTGGGTAAGCCGTCTTCACCAAACACCTGCTGCTGGCCTGTAAGTTCTATGAGGATCAAGGTCTCATCTGTTTTGTTCACCACACGTCCCAGCACTTAGTGCCTTTGTCCATGCCACTGCAGTGCGCCCGAGTACCTGCTACCTCATTTCTTCCCCAGCGCACAGAGCAGCAGCGTGGCCCGCGCCCCTCCGCCGGTGGCTCCGCTCCACCCAGCGGGCCCCAGGAATTATGGTTTTTTTATTCTAAAAAATATAAATCTTTATTTTTCACACTTCTACTCTTATACTGATTAAAATAAATGTGAAACTGCTTTATAAAACTCGTGTGAGGGCTGGGCGCGTTGCCTCATGCCTATAATCCTAGCACTCTGGGAGGCCGAGGCGGGCGGATCGTTTGAGCTCAGGAGTTCGAGACCAGCCTGAGCAAGAGCGAGACCCGTCTCCACTAAAAATAGAAAGAAATTAGATGGACAACTAAAAATATATAGAAAAAATTAGTCGGGCATGGTGGCGCATGCCTGTAGTCCCAGCTACTCGGGAGGCTGAGGCAGGAGGATCGCTTGAGCCCAGGAGTTTGAGGTTGCTGTAAGCTAGGCTGGTGCCACGGCACTCTACTCAGTGCAGTAGACTGAGACTCTGTCTCAAAAAAAAAAAAAAAAAAAAAATGTGAGGATGAGGGTCTCGAATACTGCATCATTCTTCTATTGTTTCAGTAGAGAAAGAAAGGGCTCCATTTTGCCTAAGCTCATTTAGATGTGTGGACTGTTTCTGTGGATTTAATTGGGTTCTTCTGTGAAAAGACTTTTTAAAGGCATTTGTCTGTTTTGGAGTGAGCATATCTGAGTTTTCACCCCTCGTCTGTCTTTCTGAATCTTCCCTGAGGCTGGAGATTGTAAGGTCCCTGCCCAGGTGCACAGCTTGAAGGTGGTTAAGTATAGAGGTATTGGGAAAATGGGCTAAGAGACGTGAAAGGTTTCAGAAGTTTTGAAGGGCTTTGCCTTGAAGGAATCTGTGGACGTGTTAGTTCACAGAATAGAAGCTGCTCCCAACAGTGGAGGCATTGTCAGAGGATGTCTGCACAGCAGCATTTCTTCTCTGCTGCCGGCCATCGCCTTGAGCTTTTTTGCAGAGCAGAAGCTCGGTTTGGGCCCCTGGCGGAGAAGCTGATTAAAATGCCTGCCCAGCAGATAACGTGCAGCTGGAACTATCTTAAACTGCAAGGCTATTCCTGCTTCACTCCTGACCACATGTCTCTGTATTTAGAGAAGTAGATTAGATGAGTACACAGACTCAGTGTTTTCTCACTTTATACATTTTTATCTTTAATTTGTATGGTCAGCTAGGTCTGTTTCTAGCTTAGGGCTTAACATGTTTATCTTAGAAGAATTTTGTAACCATCTATTCTTGTAGATAGAATTAGGTAAGGGTCCCCTGGAAACCTCAAAGAATGAGCTGTACACATAATTCTTTAACCAAGGACAATTATTTGCTGTAACAATAAATACTGATGTGGGATTTCACTCAGTGCCTCACAGCTCACGGAAATGCTGGGGGACCCCTGAGTCCCTCATCACTTTGAACTGCACTTTGTCTTGGTTATTTCTTTGTCTCTATTATTTCCAAATCTCTTGTGACGATCCTGCCTGGGACCTGTTTTGCTGGGAGAGTAGCTAACTCCTGGCATAGAGGAAGTGAGTTTTACACAGCTTTGTTCATGCCCATCACTGTAGGCTGGAGGGAAAGTGTTGTCAGACCTGGTAATTCTCAGATGAAGAAAGTCTCAGAGGTGGTGACGGCAGCTGGCCTAAGCTCGGAAGATTTGGCTCTCAAGATTCATCAACAGATTTCTATTCCTTTCCTGGCTCACAGTATGAATGGGGTTGGCCATTTAAGTAGCCCTTTTGAAGCTTGCACCAATAGGCACCTTGTTCAGGAACATGTCTGGACTATGGCTTCTGAGTGCGATTTCTAACGCCACTCCTTTTGAGCTCCAAAAGAGCAAAGAGAAGTCTCTGTTTGGGTGTTTATGTGCTGTCTGGAATACTTGAATGGCAGCAGCCTGAATTAGTTGAGTTCCAGTTCCTAGAGTATGCTGGAAAGGTAGTGATTCGGCTGCCTTAGTGGGGTAGAGCCCAAGAGAAAGGAAATGGGGAATTATTTTTTGTTGCTGAATGATAGTGTTAGTAACACTATTAGGCTCTGCAAATAATTTCCATCAAGGAAGTCAAAGGATTTGAGACAGGAGCATGACTTCTTCTCAGCTAGATGGAGAAATTCACCAAGTGACCATAATTCTTGTGTGTACAGGGGCTCTTGGCACTAAAGATGGATCCTGTACATGGGTTCTATAAGAAATGCAAAGAAATTTTAAAGCGATGGTTCCTGAAGACAAGGATAAGGTACTTTACTTTGCACTTTGTCCAGAAGCAAGGACAGCCTCCACCTCCCCAGCAGCATGCCAACCAGCCTTCCTTCCTTCTTCCTCTCCCTAGATTTGAACTTCTAGATCACAGCTCAGTAGGAGAGTGTCTCCCAAACAGAGTGTGGTGAGTTTTTTCCTCCAATGTCCAATTCATCACAGATGATATCTCTGTAAAATACAATAAAATGATTTACTAGAAAAATAAAGACATATAAAATGCAATACCAAATTATTAGTAAATTGAACACACATAATTCCTTGTCAAACTGCAATAAAACTTTCTAAATGGTACTCTTTAATTTTGTTCTTAAAATAATCGTGTCCTGTTAACAGTCACACATACACTTTGATCAGTAGAGCTTTAGAATGCAGACAGTTTATCTTCCTTTCTTCATTTCCCATCTCCTTTTCCCCAGCCCTTCACCCAAGCTTAACAGGTCATTTTGTTAGGCAGTCATTTGCTAATGCCCCACCCTCCTTCATTTTACATAGAGACCCCAACACTTTCAGGGTTGAGATGAATGGGGTAAGAAATGTGGCTTTCTTTGCTTTAATGTTGATCTGCCCAATTTCCTGACCCAATATATTATTTTCTGTGTGACCTCGTAATTTTCAGTTTTACCAGAGTCCTCAGTAGTTTTCACTGTAGCCACAAAAGGCATGTTTCCAAAAGAGGCATTTGGATCAGATATTTTGATATAAAACACTTTTCTTTCGTACATAAAACTACAGCACATCTTACTTTTTATTAAGGTACTTAATTCCTCTGTTAAATAGATTGTGCTTACTTTGGTTCAAATGGCTTTTAAAAAAATTTGAAACTTGCTGTTTCTCCCATAAAGTCTGTGGGAAGACACTGAAGAAAGCCAGGCATTTTCTGTTTTGCTCTTCTGGTAGTGCAGGATTTGCAGGGGTAGTTTCTTTCATCACTGGGTGATAAATTGTCTCTCTCTGCTTCAGGATATTTTGCTGAAGGTCCAAGGTGTCAGCTACCTTCTAACAGTATTTCCATGAAAGACAGAATGTCATTGTCAAATTCAACCTTGGGGCTGGGATGGATGCCACCTTCTAAAAATTAAAAGTAAGTTAAAATTCCCCTTCTCCCTCCCCAATTGTTTAGATTTGGTTTTGAGCCAGGTGAACATCTTCAAAACATTTTTAAAATATATATTAAAAAGTATGCAGTAATAGCTTGTTTCTCACCTCTGTCCCCACTTGCCTAGACATCTGCCATGACCACCATCTCTCCCATATTTTATCTCACCGGGGCCCTAGTGACAGATATTTTAGGTTTCTAATTGTCGTTACAGAGTTATAATAAAAATTTTTTGCATGTTTTTCCCTCTCTATGTATGGAAATACACCAGGAGGAAAAATTCCACCAGTAGAATTGCTGGGACAAAGAACCTATGCGTTTGTAATTTTGATGATAACTAAGATTTTGTTGGCACAATGGCATCTTGGGTGAAATTTGGAGATTTGCAAGACTGGGTGGTCATAATACTGATGCAAAGTTCTTTTGGAGTCATTTTATGATTTGATTCCTTGACTATCCTTTTAGTGTTTAAGTGTAGGGATAATAACACCACTCACAGGGAAGGAAACGTGTCTAGGTAGTGGCAGAACCAGGAGTAAAATTCTGGTCTTTGACTCCTGGGGTTGGTTTTTCTGCAGACCTTTTCCCTGCAGAGTCCTCGCTGGTTGCTTGTTCTTTTTTACAGGTTTTTACAGATTTTGCTTTGTTCTTCTATCAAGTCAGTCATGTGGCAGTAATGGGTACATGCTTTTTCCCGCATTTCTTGCAGACAAAGACCCAGACCTGCAAGTCTACTTTGCCCCTAATCTGCTCACCTGTTAAGGTCTTTGGTCCTCAGCATTCGCAACCTTCCTCTTACTGAAGTGAGAAGTGAGTGGCCTCAACATGGTCCTGGCATTTGTTTGCCTCTGCATCCTTCTTTCACAATATGACCACTAACACCTGTGAAGCACTTTTACATACATGATGTCATGAATTAACATCAGAGGCCTCTGAGGGGGGTTTACACAGTTGGGGGAAATGGGACTATGAGAGGTCGTGTCTTCCAGGATCGCACAGCCAGTGGCATGGGAACAGGGAAAGAGCAGTGGGATCAGCTCATGAAACTCCAAATTGCTTCCTCTTCCCTCTGCCCCACAGCCCCTGTGGTTGTTCAAGGGGGTCTTTTTGGCAACCTACCCTTTCTGTAGAACTGTTGTGTCTTTGTTAATGTCATGTCCCATGGTGTGGTGTAAGGAACTGGAGCAGAATATAGTGTTAAGAGAATGTGCCCCTCACTGTAACAGAGGCTGCTGGAGAAATCTCTCCGTTGGACCTGAGACCCCTTTGCCTTGGTCACATGGTTTGCTTTTCCCTGTCTTATAGGTGGGTTAATATAATTAATACATCTGAGGTTTTTGTTTCTGACCAATGTACACTGAGGCTTATGTAGCCCTTTGAAGAAAAAGCTTGTCTGTCAGTAATGAGAAAGGGAAATTGCATTATGTCTGAAAGTCCTTTGTGGAAATCATTTTGTTTTGGTTGATAATTATATTGGTCAAAAGGGTTTTTTGGTTTTTTGTTTGTTTGTTTGTTTTTTGGTCTACAGTTCCTTTTAAAATACATAATATTCTCGTTTGCTCTTTCAGAACAGGAGTTGCGGCTGGGCACGGTGGCTCACACCTGTAATCCTAGCACTCTGGGAGGCCGAGGCGGGTGGATCGCTCAAGGTCAGGAGTTCGAGACCAGCCTGAGCAAAAGCGAGACCCCGTCTAGACTAAAAAAAAAAAAAAAAATGATCTGGACAGCTAAAAATATATATATAGAAAAAATTAGCCGGGCATGGTGGTGCATGCCTGTAGTCCCAGGTACTCGGGAGGCTGAGGCAGGAGGAGGATTGCTTGAGTCCAGTATGAGGTTGCCGTGAGGTAGGCTGACACCACGGCACTCTAGCCAGGGCAACAGAGCAAGACTCTGTCTCAAAGAAAAGAACAGGAGTTGCAATCTATAACCCATAGGCCAAATCTAGCCCACCTTCTGTTTCTATAAATAAAGTTTTATTGGAACATAGCCCTTGACACTTGTTTGCATATTGTGCTTTAGCTGCTATATGACAACTATGACCAGCAGAGATGACTAGTTACAACAAAGAACATCTGGCCTGCAAAGGCTAAAATATTTATTTTTTGGCTCTTTGCAGAGAAAGTTTGCTAATTCCTGTTTTAGAGAGATATGCATTTCTATGAGAGTGTAGGAAAACCTTTGTCCATTGGTCTCATTCCAGCTGGGATGGTTCCCTGGTTGCACCGGCAGAGGTTTAGGTGTGAGTCACGGGCTTCCTGCTGCCACCACTGCGTGAGCTTGTTCTGTATAATCTCAGGAGCCCAGGACTGTACGGTAAAGATTCCCATCTGCAGGCAGTGGGCAGGAATAGAGTAGAGGAAGGTCAGTATTGTCACAGAAAAGGAATAAAGGGTGAGTGAAACCCTTTAAGGGGCCTCAGTTTCTTCATGTCTCTGTAATTCTGTTTCTGCACGAGGGGTCAACTGCGTAGGGGAAGCAGGGTCGATCTTGGCTATCTGTGAACGGGTCGACCCTGTTGTATCCCCTTTGAGTTTCAGTGACACCCTGCTGGTGGCTGCCCTCGGGCCATTATTCCTAGACTGGGGCATCTCCACACAAACTCATGAAATGGGAGCTACGTGGGTGTGGAATGTCAGAAGGGCCTTAGAGAATCACAGAATAAAAAGTTGAAGCATCACTTCCCATGGCCATTTTGCCCCTTT